GCGACAGCCGGGCGCCTGATCATGTGGCGGCCTTCTTGCATCTCCGCGGCCGCGCGGCGGCGGAGACGGGGGTCAAGGTGTGGTACCGCTTAAGCCTGCGGGAGAAAGGCGGCAAGGTGCACCCGGCAGGGCCGTTGCTGATCCAAAAGTTTACGTCGGACGGTAATATTGGTTACGGCAATATCCGGCTGGCTCACAAGTCCAAGCTGCGAGGAGACCGCTTCACCATCAAGTGTGAGTTGGTCGTCATCAATAAGCCCACAGTGCAGGCGCTGTAGCAATTTTCCTTTCTGGCAAACGCTTCATGTTGATGCAGAGATGCAGTTGTAAACACTGGTGTAGCCAACACAATGAACGACGATTTTATCCATTGTAAACGCAGTTGTAAGCTGTATGGACTATGAAGCAGTTCATGTGTGTTTCTTTTCTGAAACTAATAGACAGATTGAGTTTCATGACAGTGGTTTTATTCCAAACAGCCTATTTCCTTGAAAAACTTTAGATCAATTACAGAGCAATTTCGCACACCTCCTCACAATGCCTTTCTAGTAATGCCTTGTGGAAGAGTGACAACGTTATACCTCCATAGCTAGAGTGAGATCGTTGAAGTCTGCATTTTTTTTCAGGAGAACTTTCATTGTGCTCACCTTCGATCATGGTAGTACAACGAATACTCGAAATAATAAAAATTACATGCAGATAGCGATGATTACAATCACTGAAGCGAGCCAAGGCGCGCGGCCGTCATCACCCCTCCCTCGCCAGTTTCGGGTAAACTTGTTGAAGTAGACAATCGAGAAGTCATCGTGCTAAGGCCCCATAGAACCAGCGTACCAAAACAACAACCGCCATTGATGAAGAGACTTGTAGATCGAAAGGATCCAATCTGAAGACACGCAAATGTAGACAAAGCGGAGACCGGATCCGAGTAGATCCACCAAAGAAAATCATTGATCGAATCTTGTGAGATCCGCTAGAATACACCTCCACATGCCCTTCAATGATGCTAGACGCACCGCCGGAATTGTTCTGGGCGGGGAGAACCTTATTCCATCTTTGAAGAATCGCCGTCGTCCCATCTTCCTAAGTAGGACATAAAGCCTAACAAAACTAATAAATATATCTTAAAACGGAGCCCTCCTGCTGTAAGGGTTAGGATCCACCCCGCGCCTCCATGGCTCTAGGGCCACCGGACACGAGGCAGACCGGCAGCGACGCCAACAGGAGGCAGAGGAACCCTAACTTTTGGAGGAAGAGGCGGCGATTGTGCGTGTGCAAGTCTATATTACAAAGGACCGGATGAGGTTTCCTAACCTTTGTAATGCAAACTTGAAACCACAGGATACAAGTAGTTTGTTCTTTTCCGGATTTGGGAGGCGCTTTATCCTCATCCCTTATCTGACGTCCGAATTCTAACAAAGTGTTAGCAAATCTGGGGGCTTTGCGGAGTTCGAACATCCATCTAACCAATCAAAGGCCACCATGTATACACGCACTCCACCCCTCTCTCTCCTCAACAACGACGTGCACATGCGCTACAGCCTCACGCCGGCTTGGCCGCCTATCTCTCCTCTCCTTCTCCCTACACCTCTCATCTTGCCACACCTGCCATGGCTTGGCAGATCGAGCTAGGCTTCATGGTGCCGCAAGGCCTCGGCAGAGCACGACGTGACAGCCTCGATGGTTCTACAGAGCAGGGATGACGTCGTGGTCGGCGAGGAGCTCCTAGCACCTGTGGGGGGAATTGCCGTCTTCGCGCAAGTGAAGCACGCGCGAGAACCGCGCGCCGACAAACCTTGTCGCGCCAGTGACCAGCGCTGCGAGCGTGGTGACCTTAGTGCTCCATGTAGCGGAGCATGAGCACACAATGCACCCGCGGCCACATGCTCTGGGTTCTACGCCAATGCCCATTGTTGGGCCGCTCCGCCCTTCCGCGCTTGACGAGGTGTTCGTCATCGTGGCCTCCGTGCGAGCAAGGTGTTCGACAAAATATGTAGACAGATGGAACCGGACAAATACGGCATAGCATTGGATGACTTCATCCTTTATCCTGCCGGCGTACATTTGCGGTGTCCGTCTTGTGTTGGAGATGCCCCTATCAGGCAAAGGAGGACGATTTGGTGCGGGCGTGGAGCATCATCGCCCAGGTCACTTGGATGGAACAGTGAAACAGCTGCTCGGCGTCAACCGGAGAGAGAAATCATCCGCCTAGCTAGCCCTCAGATCGGTATAACGCAGGCTCCCGCACAACCCCTGACCCTGCAGTACTGTGTTATCTACTTGTCCTTCCCGCTCGCAACAACCCCAGTGCAGCGCTGCCATGTGTCACTCGGAGCTGCCCGACATGGCCTCGGCGATGCTCCATTGCAGCTCCGACAACCTGGCAGTGCACATTTTACTACATTCCAAGTATAACCAGTTACAGGGCAAGAGAAAGTTAAATGATCTGCATTTTCATCTGCACAACATACACTTAGCATTACCTTGCCAGCCCCTATGTAAAAGCACATCCTTTGTGAGGACACTATACCTGCTGACTGTCTAGCCCTTAATACCATTATATATGTGGATTTTACTGGGGGAAAAAAAGAAACAGATTTCATCAGAGTCCACACACACTTGTCAGGCCCATCGGTAAGTTGCTCTCCTGAGGCTGAAGCTAGACCACCCTTCAGTAAACACTTTCGCCACTCTACAATTCTTAATTTCTTATCATTACAAGATTATACAATCTGGGATATTTATCAGCTAAGCAAACATCCAGATCTTCCTAAAACCTGGTTCTCTCATCATTAAAGAATTGTTAATCCAAACAAGAAGTGGGAGGGCACAGGCTTCAATTTACACCAAGACAAAGTAACATTACTAAGTTATTTATTCTTAATTAACTCCTGCCATAAACCCTCCTCATTTTCGAGCTTCCACAGCCATACTGAGCAGACATGTATTCAATACAGATAAGTCTAACACCCCTAGCCCCCCTTGTTTTCTAGGTTGACAAATCTCCTGCCAATTGACTAGATGGCACTTCTTAATATTCTCATCTTGATCATACATACTCCATCTCCTTAGACTCACAATGCTCAATAATAGTATCAAAAGATTAGACCATTTATTTAATCTCCTAGCCTGACTACTATCACTAATTTTCCTAATCAAATTAAAGTCTCCTCCAACTAACAGAGGGAGCTCATTACAATAAAAAATATGCACTAGCTCAACCAAACAGGCTTCCTTGTCTGTACCATGAGCAGCCCCATACGCAGTAGCTAAATTCCATTTGTTATTAGAGCTTCTCTCTCTAACTGTCAATCTAGCATGAAAATCACCCGATTCAGCTTACATTACTTCAAAATAACCACTATCCACTCCTAACATAATACCACCACTCAGTTCTACTGATGGAATGGAACACATACCCAGGAAAAATCTTTCTACCACTAATATTATTTAACCAATCAGCACCATAACTGGTTTTCTTTGTTTCCTGCACACCTACAAATAAAATATTATGCTCTGCAATAGTTTCTTTAAGAAACTTTACTTTATCAGCCTTCCCCATACCTCTAGCTACATTAAAACTATTTTTCTTAGAGCCACCACAAAGCAAATCTTTACTGCTCTTACCAGGACTAGACTCAAATAAATTGCATCTAGCTTCTTCTAGTTTCTTTAAAACTTCTACAGACTGCTTAATTTCCTTCTCATTTCCACCTAATTTAACACCCGCAGTAGGAGCTGAACTTAATAGTTTTTCATGTGCAGCATTTAAACTGTAGGAAATTTGAAGGAAGCAGACTCACCAATTGGAAACTCCAAGTTCTTCACTTTAGCCCTGTCCATTGCTTTCTCGATTACATGCTGATCTGTCACATTCCTGCTTGTCCTCCTCCTATTCTCATCCACTATATTATCCATTTCCTTGCTGGCATCTCTCAACACACCTCCAAGCTCCACTTTTTTTGCTTGTAAGGTCTGGTCTCTATTTAAATTTTCCTCCCCCAAATCACCTCCAACCAATTGTGATCTTGTAGCCTCCTGCTCCTCATCAAGTCCTCTGTTTACCTCTGCAATCACCTGTGTACTAAGCCCCAGTCCTCTTGCAAAGCTGTCAGGATCATCCTGCATATCCTGAGAGAGCCCCTGGTTATTAGCACTAGAGGCTCTGCTTCCACTGTCAGTATCTGAGCATTCCACACCATCCAACATTCTGGGATCTTTTGCAGATTGTTTATTTATTTCCTCGACTCCAGTTACCTGCAGCTCTCAACATATTTTTCTTTTTGCAACATTTTTTGTCTTAAATCCAATTCCACAGTGAATACAAAACAGGTGTGCCTCCTTTCTTCCACAGTGAATACAAAACAGGACAGTTTTACACTCTTTCACTACATCCACATGCCTGGGTTGAGCACAGCGAAAACATCCAGCCTTCTGCACATTACCAGTACACCCTGATCCTTGTGGTTCATACAGAACCTATCACCTAACTAGTGCAGCCCTTAGTTATTGCCTCATTGTAATGGTATGGTAGACACAAGGACGACCAAAAAAATGCACGGGTTTAGTACTCCCTCCGTTCGGAATTACTTGTCGCGAAAATGGATGTATCTAGACGTATTTTAGTTCTAGATACATCCATTTCCGAGACAAGTAATTCCGAACGGAGGGAGTAGATTCATAAATGTTTAAACTATCCATGAAACAGAACAATGTTAACAAAGGGAATGATACATCACCATGTTGCTTTGAGGCTGCTGTCCAACAAGTTGTGCAACTCGGTCAGGGACTGATAATACGATTACAATTTCACATTAAATGGTAAATCGATCCACTCATTCAGAATTTGTAACAAACAATTAGAACTGCAACCGACTGATAATACACTAATTTGGGAGAACTTCCAAACACCTACCGCACCAAATCACCGACAGGCGACAACATGATCAATCAGTGTAATACACATACACATAGCAGACATACGAGACAAATGTACCTTCCTACTCCAAACTTGAGGTGGAGATAATCCTGGCGCCATCTCTATCAAGCTGCGCGACGGTGGCGATGGCTTTCAGCTTCCCCACTGAAAGGAAGGCGTCAACCATCCTCCGGGCGATCTCCTCCCCATTCTCCTCTCCCTCAATGACAGCCACGGCGGTCGGGCCCGCTCCGCTGATGGTGCATCCCAGCGCTCCGGCTTCCAGGGCGGCGGCCTTCACCGCGGCCATGCCGGGAATCAGCGGCGCCCTGGTGGGCTCGACGATGAAGTCAGACGACATCGCGGAACCGATGAGGGTGGCGTCACCCAGCAGCACGGCGGCGACGAGCGCAGCAGCCTGGCTCGAATTGCGGACGTGGTTGCCGAGGGTGACCTTCTTGGGCAGGGCGGCGCGCATGTTGCTGGTGGGCGCCTCGAACTCAGGCGTGACGAGGATGAAGCAGAGGCGGAGTGCGGGCGGGCAGGGGAGCTGGACGAGGCGGAAAGGCTCATAGCTCCGCACGAGGACGAAGCTCCCGAGGATGGCCGGGGCGATGTTGTCGGCGTGGAAGCCGCTGACGGCCTTCTCGGACTCGAGCCCGGCGAGCACGAGGTCGTCGCGGGGGAGCAGCGATCCGAAGAGCGCGTCCACGGCCTTGGCGGCGGCGGCTGCGGAAGCGGCCGAGGAGCCGAGGCCGGAGCCGAGCGGCAGGCCCTTGGCGAGGCTGAGCGAGACGCCGTGCGAGCGGACGCCGAGGGCGCGGAGCGCGGCGACGGCGGCAATGCCCGCGCAGTTGCGGAGCGGGTCGCGGGAGAGGCGTTCGGCGAGGCGCGGGAGGAACGGGGAGGTGATGCCCGAGATGGCGACCGTGCCGGCGGGCAGCGTGGGGTCGAGAGTGGCGGTCACGGTGTCGCCGAGGGAGAGCGAGGCGTCGGCGACGGCGCAGCCCAGGAAATCGAAACCCGGCCCCAGATTTGCCACAGTGGCCGGCGCGAATGCCGTGACGGACCTGAAGGCCGGGGGCGGGTCGGCCGATGCCGCCGCGGCGGAGACTCTGAGCTTGCTGGGGATGCGAAAGGAGAGCAGCGGTGCCTTGCGGGTGGAGGGGAAGGAGGACGGCGCGGTTGCCGGAGACGCCGCCGCCGCCGCCATTGCGGGGGGTGGCCGGTGCGCGCGTGGGAGGGTGGGGTTTGGGGAAAAGATTTGGGCTTGGGCTTTGGGAACAACCTTATTATGAAGAGTGACTGACAGGCGTGGCCCGCCACCACCGCGGCTCCCAGAACAATCTCCACCACCAACCGCCGATGGCGATGGCGATGACCGTCCTGCTCGTCGTCCTCCTCCTGGCCGGGGGCTCCGCGGCCGCGTCGCCGCCGCCGCCGCCGTGCAGCCGGTCGTGCGCGACGCTGAATTGCGACTGTGAGCCTCCTCGTCCTCCCCTGATCCAGTCAATCGAGTGCGACGATTTGTTTCTGATCTGAGCATGCTCTGACCATGGAATGGATGGGATGGATGGCAGCGGTGGGGATCCGGTACGGCAAGTTCTGCGGCGTGGGGTGGAGCGGGTGCGAGGGGGAGGAGCCCTGCGACGACCTCGACGCCTGCTGCCGCGACCACGACCACTGCGTCGGCAAGAAAGGTACATCATTCATACATACATCACCCCCTTTCTAGCTTGAGAAGAAAGAAACAATGGCGTCTGGATTGGTCAACCCAGGCCGCCATGAACAACCATACGCTGCACTGTATTGTTTGGACATGTGAATTCGGAAGGTGCTGACAATTGACAAGACGAGCATTGGCTAGACAGTTTCAGAATTCAGACTTTCAATTGCTGCTGGCTCTACTCTGCTCTGTCATTTAGTAATGGCAATGCGGCGGCAGTTTGGTTCACAATTGCCTGTATGAACTGATGTTTTCGCCCATCTGTCGATCGGTGATAAATTGTGTGTGGTTAATTTACTAGATAAACTGCACAGCTCTGTATTATGCACACCAGAATGCATCGGGACAACCGGACAAGTTACATGTCTGGTTAGCCGTTTCCTGTCAGTATACATCTATGCTCTACACCAATTCCCTTGTAAATTCCACATGTTACATACTGTCGAGTCGTGCAGCCGCATGGATTGGGCGATATGTGTTGGCGGTTTGGGTTCGAGGGGGTGTTCAACATTGCATCAGGTTGACATGGGTCACAGTTTTTTACCTCCAAGCGACATATGGCACCCGCCAGATCCCGCCAGATCGATTAATGCCATCTCCACAATCCTATAGTTATATTGCATTGGGACAAGTCGCAGTTTTTGGTGAATCATTTTATTTTATACTCTGTACTGTATTTGTCAATTGCGGCTGTGTCTTCACAGCTTTGCAGTTCCCTGTTAAATTTTATGTGTCATTGAGTATTGTACAGCTAAAGAGTCGCATGGATGTTTGGGTACAAGGGGGGCAATTGTTGAACATATTGCATCGAGGACTTCATATGGGTGGAACCTCTTTTTACCTTCAAATGACAGATGACACCCGCCAGATCAATCAGTGCATTCCCCACATTCCTATAATTATATTGCTTTGTTTATCTTACACCATGAGTAACCAGTTTCGCTGGGACATGTATGCATGCATGAAACACAACGGAAATATGATGCTTGTGATGCGAAAGAAAGTTTTCGCTCAAGCTGTTTATCTGAAGATCTGTACTCTGAACCCTCATTCTCATGGTTCTTTTTCTTTGCATAAATGTAAATTGAACAGGCCTGATGAGTATCAAATGCCATGAGAAGTTCAAAAACTGCATGAGGAAAGTGAAGAAGGCTGGCAAGGTCGGCTTCTCCAAGAAATGCCCGTATGAGATGGCTATGGCGACGATGACTCAGGGTATGGACATGGCGATCATGCTCAGCCAGTTGGGCAGCCAGAAGTTAGAACTGTAGCTTTGGCCTTGGAGAGGTCCTCGGCGCATTGCTTGGTTGATTGAAGATTGACTTCCTTTGATGATTATACTGTAATTTTACTTCTATTGTTAAAATCACATTGTTTTGGGCAGCCATAGAGATATTTTTAGGTTGCGGCGCTGTTTGCAGCATATAGTATCAGATCTTCTGCCTAGGCATTTTTGTAAACAGAGTTGCCATATAATTGAATCGAAATCTCATCATTCTCCAATTTGAGAATATCTCTTTCTTCATGGTATCCGTCTAATTTTGGGCTGCTTCGATTATTGTTTTTCTAGTTATATCTCTGCTCTTTGGGTCATTGAAATACTGGAGGAATGTGTTGATAGCATAGATACAAGAATTGCTAAAATAGCCAAGTTGGAGATACAATGATAAACTTATATCGAGGAGGTGTTCATAGATCATACATTTATTATTAGTCCCCTAATTTAGAACTAACAGATAATTATTGCACCAAAATAAATACATAAAAGAGGTGTTAGTACTCTGAATAAAACCGCATGCATATGATGCCACCAAGAAATATGATTTTTTTTCAAAACTATCACGTTATTTGAAGCAAATTCGGAAACTACAGCATGTTTTGGAGAAATATCAGGTCTAGCACCCCGTCGGCCAGGTGTTGGCCGTAAAGGGTGTTTTCGGCCACCTCTAGGCCGAAATAGGGTTTTCGGCCTTGCCTTTGGCCGAAAAGGTGCAAAGCTGGCCGAAGAGGGGTGTTTTCGGCCACCCTTTGGCCGAAAAGGACTTTTTGGCCTAGTGTAGGCCGAAAAGTACTTTTTGGTCAAGATTAGGCCGAAAAGTCCCTTGGGCCCATCTTTTCCCGTTAATTGTTGGCCAGTGTATTTTCCCGCCAACCCCTTCCCGCCACCCGTTTCCCGCCAACCCCTTTCCGCCACCCATTTCCCGCCACCCGTTTCCCGCCAACCCCTTCCCGCCATTTTCTCCTCAGTACATATAAAAACCCCTTCAGGCGGAGGTGGATAAGCATTCCAGTTTATTGTAGTCGAGATGTCCCATTATCCATTCGATCGTAGTTTTCACCCTAGGATGAGCAGGACTCTTCTGAGTCTAGTTACCGATTTCAGGATGGACAATAGGATAGTTCCATGGGACGAACTCACCGGTAGTGACACCATAATGAATGAGTTGTCTCACCAATTACGTAGGTCTGGGTGGCCTGAAAGGACCTACGAGGAGGTACGTAAAGAACTACTTAGGTTGCATGAAAGGTGGAAGAAGGTGGTGGTGCCGAAGAGTGAAACTTTCAGAAGGATTTCAGCAAATAATCCATCTTTATGGATTGAGGAGAGCGAGGACGAAGATGATATCTTCATGCCACCGCTTCCGGGTTCTGCATCGTCGAAGGGCAAGAGTTCTTCATCGTCCAAGGGCAAGAGTTCTACATCCTCGAAGGGCAATAGTTCTGCATCGACGGATGGCAAAAGGACCGCATCGTCGAAGGGCAAGAGGGCTGCATCAACGGAGGATGACGATGATGACTTCATGTAGTATGTAAGATGTATTCCAGTTGTACCGTTTCATTCAGATGTACTTGCATTATTAGTTTGTACTGTATTATCGTAGGGCATTATGTTCTATCTGAATTTCATTTTGTAGCATGTAAGATGTATTGCACCAGTTCAGCCGCACCGTTTAATTCAGATGTACTTGTATCTTAATTATCGGTTGTAGTCTCTTTGGAAATGTAACTGGAATAAGAATGCGAATTAATAGTAATATGTCTCTCGCATACATAAAACAATATATGTCTCCTGATACATGAACATGAAGCATGTCTCATATATAAATACTGACTCACAGCTGCGAATAGTCTGAAAGTAACATAGATAATGACTCATACATAGATAACCATATCACTGCGGGGGACGACGACGAGTCTGGGTCTTCCTCGGGCGAGGACCAGAAGGCGATAAGCGCTGTGGCGGTGGACGAGGCTCGCGATAACCACGGCCATAGTTAACCTCGTCTGTCACGGTCTGTGTCTCTTGCGTCGGTGGTACTTAATATAAAAGTACCTCTCGCCGTGTCCAAACAGATTCCATAGTAGGCAAGTCGCCGATAGTAGGCACATAAGCCCCAGCTAAGTCCTCCAAACCAAAAGGTTTATCAACGTAGACATAGGGTCATCCAATAGGGAATCTCTCGTATGACCAGAGCTACAACAATAATGGACATCCAACAATACTAGATTTTCTAGACTTCAACAAGCAAGCTTTGCACAGGCCTTTGTATGTAGCCGCTAACACAGCAGAACCAAAACTCCTCTGCTGAATATCCCTAGGGCAACGTGCGTCAGCTATCTCTCGTGCAATACCGATGAGTCGTGCATCAATAGTGGTCACGTGGTTCTCTGTAAACATCGTCTTTCCAAACAGCCAAAGAATATATGCCTCTAGGGACCGGTCAATCTGTGCCTCCGACAACTGAACATGGGGATATCCTAACGAGGCAATCTACATAGAAACATAATGATTGTATGAACATCGGGCAACTAAAAAAACATTTTTTTAAGTGGCCGTGAAGGTTACCTGAAACTGGCCCAACCATCTAAAAAGAGGTCCGTGAGGATCGTTGTCTATGGCCCTAGCAGTCGGCACCGCAGCCAAAAACCGGGTCTGCATCGCTTCTTGCCAACCAGATTCTGCCTCTAAGGGACCGATGGCAGCACCGGCCAGAGGTAATCCCAACAAGTAAGACACATCCTGTAAAGTAGGCGCCATCTCTCCCCAGGGAAAGTGAAATGTATGTGTCTCTGGTCTCCATCTATCTACTAAGCAGGTAAGAAGTGACTTGTCGTAAGAGAAACGTTTCACTTGCCTCTTGTGTAACTGCAATGGTTCACCTGCCTCATCTAAGTCCGGACCATCAACCCACTCATCCAATGTACCCTCAACCAGTTGTGCCAAGGGTAGAAGTCCAACCCAAATTAACCTACAAAATAAAGAGATTGTTAGCGGCTATGAAAAGTATGTCAAACATAGTAAGTCATTATATGGATTCCATTATATGCACACATACCTATCAACCCATGAATTTTGTATCATCCAGTTAGTCTTTGGAGTACGAGTGACCACCACGTCTAAGTGGTTGCCCGCTTCCATAAGGGCGCCCCGGTGCTTTCTATCGATGTTACCATTAAGCAACGGATACGAAGACATATCTGCAATTCAAACAACAAATCTTAGGTGCAAATAAAACATAGTACAAACATATTACAAATTAAACCATAGTAAGGCATATTACAAATTAAAACATAGTCCAGACATATTACAAATTTAAACATAATCCTGACATATTATAAATTAAAACATAGTCCAGACATATTATAAATTAAAACATAGTCCTCACATATTACAAATTAAAACATAGTCCTCACATATTACAAATTAAAACATAGTCCTCACATATTACATATTAAAACACATTATATAGCTTCTGAGTTATTTCTTCCTCGTCCGCCCCTTCGGCCTCGAATGCCACGACCACGTCCGCCTCTTGCTCCTGTTGTCGCAGTCGTCGATGTGGAAGCACTCGTCGATGTGGAAGCACCATCTTTGTTCAGGTCGGGACAATATTTCATCCTATGCCCATAAGCCGCGCATAACAAACATTGTCTGGTTGCTCCACCAGCTTTAGATTGGCCCATGTCATTCCGGATGCGACG